AAGAGAGAGGAAAAGAGAAGACGAGAAAGTACCTCCCAGCGGAAGTGGCCACACTGCAATGCCTCCTCCATTCTCCTCTTAAGATTTTGGGCACACATACGCCCAGTGTATATTTTAAGTCACAGGGTTCAGGACTCAAACTGTGGAATTGACCATGTGGGATCCAAGCACCTTAACTGCCACCCCATTGGCTGGTCTTATTAGCTGTTTAAAATCCCCGTGAAATCCTGGCTTTTTTTCCATAACTGGACCACAACTAAAAATAAAAGCCCTAAACTGCAACGCTTGGCAGTGTTTTAGAACTGGGATTCAGCAATTTGATTTTTCTTTAAAAAAAAAAAGTTCCCTCGGGTTAAGATGAAGTTTGCTTTGTTTTATGTAACCGAGAGTAAACAGACACCAGAGGTTTTCCTGGAAAAGGCCCAGAACTCAGAGGCACAGGTGGACGTGGTTCTTGTTTGTCCCAAGCTAACGAGCCCCCAGACCAGCCCCAGGATTGCAACCTGCAATCCCCCGCCCCCACCACGCCGTGACCTGGCTCCTGAATGGCCAGATGGTATTGGGAAATCCCTTTCTCCATGTGGTCCTTGCTCCTCATCAATAATTCTAAGAACTAAGTGCAGAGATGAATGAAGCCTAGAGCATGCCACAGAATCCGAAAGCGTGGTGCACTTCTGTGTCTGTCTCACCCACGGAGACACTTAGGAGGGGGAAGATGGCAAGGTTTCGTGTGTTTTATAATTCTATGCTCCTCCCATGGAGCTGTGTCCCACAGGACACCACAGAGGGTTGCACTTTGGGAATGCCTTCCCATTTAATTCGCTTCATTGAACTTATAGGCCGGCCCCGCAGCGTGCAGCAGGAGGGTGTGGAAGCTGTAGGTTCTCATGCAGGCCGAGGTGCCTGAGAGCGTGCAGGTGGTTTGCAAGAACAAATCAATGCTTGGATGCCCATCTCACCTGACCACCCAGGTGCAGTGTTTCCCACCTGTCGTTCCCAAGGGGACATTTGGCCACGTCTGGAGGTGGTTGTAACTGTCCCTGGTTGGGAGGGGCTTTCTAAACACCCTGACGTGCAGGACGGCCCCTCTCCCCAGGACACAGACGCATCCAAAATGGAGACCAGCAGATGGTATAATGGTTATATTGCTGGACTCCCATGTAGTCGACCGCAGTTTGAGTCCCAAACCGAGCGGCTTAAACTCATGCCAAACGCATGTGTGTGCATGCCCAAGTTCCCAAGAGGAGAATGGAGAAGAAGGGAATGCGGTGTGGCCATGCCCCCGAGGGGGTGATTTCTTGCTTCCTGTCTCTCTAGCGAGCATATGCACCCTATAGCAGAAACCTCTCAGGAAAAGGAAAAAATAAAAAGGATCTAAAACGTCCATAGCGCCAAGGTTTAGAGACCCTGCTCCACAGAAGCTGAGAGAGCAGTGGGGTCCAGATGGTGGGAAAGCAGGGCTCTCGGTGAGGCTGACCACACCGGAAGACTCGGGGTCTGTATCCAGACTATCTACGTACCCCAGGCACAGCCATGTGCCCCGGATCCTGGGCTGGTCGGAGCTGGTCATGGATTGTGAGGACAAACCTCTGTTGGGAAGGGCCAGCCAGGGGCATGGTGGTTTAAGTGCTGGATCCCACATGGCCGACTACGTGGTTTGAGTCCCGGACCTGGTGGTTTGAAAAACCTGTCGGGTGTGTGTGTGCATATGTGCCCAAAATCCTGAGAAGAGAGGGAAGGAGGAAGGGATTGTGGCATGGCCATCCCCCTCATGTCACTTTCTCTCTCTCTCTCTGTCTCTCTTCAGTGAACCATGTGCTCTCTAGTAAAAATGAAAAAGAAAACACTGTGTTGGGAGTGCTGTATCTCTCGCTCTCTGTCTCTTGTTAATGGAGGAAATTAATTAATTAAAAAAAAACGACAGTAGTGAGTGGGGAGTACCTCTGACCCGGTGTTGTTTGTTGTTGTTGTTGTGTGTGTGTGTGTGTGTGTGTTTCAAAGAGAAACACTAGACCAGAGGTCTGAAGGGAACCTCAGAGACATGTCAGCCCCCACCCCATGTTGTCCCTGGACCAGCCAACTGGGAGCATGTTGAAAATCCATGCTGGACTCCCATGTAGTCGACCGCAGTTTGAGTCCCAAACCGAGCGGCTTAAACTCATGCCAAACGCATGTGTGTGCATGCCCAAGTTCCCAAGAGGAGAATGGAGAAGAAGGGAATGCGGTGTGGCCATGCCCCCGAGGGGGTGATTTCTTGCTTCCTGTCTCTCTAGCGAGCATATGCACCCTATAGCAGAAACCTCTCAGGAAAAGGAAAAAATAAAAAGGATCTAAAACGTCCATAGCGCCAAGGTTTAGAGACCCTGCTCCACAGAAGCTGAGAGAGCAGTGGGGTCCAGATGGTGGGAAAGCAGGGCTCTCGGTGAGGCTGACCACACCGGAAGACTCGGGGTCTGTATCCAGACTATCTACGTACCCCAGGCACAGCCATGTGCCCCGGATCCTGGGCTGGTCGGAGCTGGTCATGGATTGTGAGGACAAACCTCTGTTGGGAAGGGCCAGCCAGGGGCATGGTGGTTTAAGTGCTGGATCCCACATGGCCGACTACGTGGTTTGAGTCCCGGACCTGGTGGTTTGAAAAACCTGTCGGGTGTGTGTGTGCATATGTGCCCAAAATCCTGAGAAGAGAGGGAAGGAGGAAGGGATTGTGGCATGGCCATCCCCCTCATGTCACTTTCTCTCTCTCTCTCTGTCTCTCTTCAGTGAACCATGTGCTCTCTAGTAAAAATGAAAAAGAAAACACTGTGTTGGGAGTGCTGTATCTCTCGCTCTCTGTCTCTTGTTAATGGAGGAAATTAATTAATTAAAAAAAAACGACAGTAGTGAGTGGGGAGTACCTCTGACCCGGTGTTGTTTGTTGTTGTTGTTGTGTGTGTGTGTGTGTGTGTGTTTCAAAGAGAAACACTAGACCAGAGGTCTGAAGGGAACCTCAGAGACATGTCAGCCCCCACCCCATGTTGTCCCTGGACCAGCCAACTGGGAGCATGTTGAAAATCCAGACTCTTCTGTCCCTCCCCAGATGTAGACCTCCTGAGTCCAAACCCACATTTGAACAATATCCCAGGTGATTCAAGTTTGAGGAGGACGGGTCCGGTTTATCCCAGGCTGGACAGCCCCTAAACTAGCCCTGGTAGATGGGCACTAGCAGGAGCCTGCCCCCAATCCTCCCGCCCCCAGACAGTACTCTGGGGACTGATAGTCTCCCTTGGATCTGACCTGTACCTCCCACCCCCATCCTTTGATTTTTTTTTTTTTTTTTTGGAGAGGTTTTTGCTATAAAGCACATGTGCT